CCAGAGACAAATGGCATTACCTTCTTAGAAGTGATGAATGGCATTCCTTTAGTTTCCGTTTGATGAATACCAGTGTTTTGTGTAAATAAAAACATGAAGAACTTTAGCAGCCAGCTGCCCACCATCAGTGTGTGGCAACAAGTGTGGGAGGGGAAGCACTGTGTCATGCTACACACAGCCAGAGAGAAGTCCATTTCTGTGGCATTTCAGTGGAACATGGTGGAAAATCTTAGCAGTTGTTTGCACTTACCAGTGTTTGTTAGTTCCAAAAAACATTTAACCAGTAGCCTGATATGAATTATTGACGAGAATATGGCTCATTTCTGGGATTTATTTTCTCATGTAAAATGGGAAATTGATTTCCTTACACACGAGCACAGAGCATCCAGATCGTCTGTGTGGTTATTCTGTTATGCTACCATGATGGATGACAGTGGAGAGGAGCCCATGGCTACATTAGATTTCCCAGCTTTGTTTCCGCATCAAGACGCAACATTCAGGGTCAGAGCGCTGATTTAATTAAAACCGTCTTGTTATCTCATGAAACCATCATTTCTCGCCAGTTTTCCATCTGTCCAAAGGAAGATGTTCTTTCGTGACGGACATCAAGCTAAGCAGATTTATGTACACAAGTCCTAGTCCAGGATCTAGGTGTAGTAGAGTTGCTTAAGGGCAACAGGACCCACATGTGTGCTTAACACTTCATCACCCCTGATCTCGTCAAGGCTTCACACAAACCAAGCCTCCTCGAAACATCAGCATGCTGCAGTGGATAGAAGAGAAAGTGCTGAAATGGTGCCTCTTTAATTTGTGATGAGCGTGGGAGAGCGGGACTCCCACAGGGAGCCTGATGGCCAGGTTGTACTGCTGCTCCGTCCCCCTAGCCAGCTGTAGGTGCACCTGCCAAGTCAGCAGCAGCTACAAAGTTCATTTTCTTGTTCTCACCTCCTTGGAAATGAGCCAAATTTGCGAGCTTAGACCTGAACTTTGGTGCATAGAGGCACATAAAGTGTCACCTTTACTTAAAGAACAGTTAAATTCTGCTTTTATCTGTAAGCTGCACACCTTCCTGGTCTTAATCTAATAGTGGTTAGTTAAGTGGAGTCTTGCTTGTACCATCTTAAAAAAAATATTTAAATGTATGAAATTAGGTTTTATTATATTTCAGGTCTGTTTGGAAAAAAAATATTTAGAGAAATGTTTGGTTTTCCAGATTGTTTTCCATTCTTCCCGTTTCTTTCAAGCTTTTAATATCACAAATAACGAATATGTGTTTTTTTAAAATGCAATATTTTCAACTCTGTATCATAATTTTATTCACATGTTGTATTTCTCCAGTTCTGCTGGTGAAGTTACTCTACTTCCTGACATCAGTGAATCTAAACACATTGCCTACAATGGTCCAGAACTACAGCAGGCTAAACGGTTATTAACATCATGTCTTTAATTAATTCCCAAACAAATGTAATAAGTAAAGATAAAAGAAAAATGAACCAAAACTACTTCAGCTTTGTGCATCACAAAGTATCGAGTCAAGTCATCACCGTTCATTGCAATAACTGCTGCTATTACAATTCTGCTTCAGTGGAAACCAACAAAACATCACTGACCTGATGTTAAAATCTAGCACTAATGGCCCAAAATGTTTGATACCGCTTGTTAAAAAACGTGACTTTACTCGATGCACTTCCGTCTAGTTTTGTCTGTGGTTGTAGCTTCTAGTAAAGGTCCAGCTGGCCTCTGGCTGTACTCATTTTCTCCTCCCTGGAAATGCTTCCATGATACAGATGTCCAGAGAAATGTAACTGTATTGTGAATCTATGGTTTCTCAGCTGTCTTCAGTCACCAGGCAAACTTTTTCATGTTTTTTAAATTTTTTTTTTTAAATGAAATTCAAAATGCTGAAGACTACCTCATCTTGCAGGATGGGGATGCTGTGCAGTCCTGCAAAAAGTAGGACACATGTTGAACCTTCCAACTGAATGAGATCCCTGATAGTTGACTTTGGCCACAGTTAGTCGGGGTGAGGAACACGTCAAACCAGGCAGAGTTTGGAGTAGCCACTGTTCCTCTTCATTGAAAGGGGTCTGGACGTACCCCTTAGAAGAGACCCTGGGACAGATCCAGAGCTTGTAGGAGGGACTGTCTTCCTTTCTGGTCTGGGAACACAGTTATCTCCACGATCAGATCTTTGATAAGTGGAAGATGGGACATGAAGGAGGTTGTATTTGATATATTAACCTTTTTATTCTGAACCTGAAAAGATAAATGACCCTAGTCTTTGTGAAATAAACACTAATCTTTATTTGGGAGCGACTGTATATTTGCAGGCTAAATTGGACAAAAAAATTAAATGGACTACTTTATGGGACCAAAAACAGAAAAGATAAAAATCACAATCATACTGTCAGTTTTTTGTGGGTGTGCAAAACAATCAGGAGTTTCCATTATTCCCAAAGACGACTAATTATTTTCATGCTTTTTTCATTATAACAATAAACAAAATATGTATGTTTTACTCTTTTATTTCTCACTTGAACAATCGTGGAAAGCAGTTTCAAGCTTTTCATGCTCCAAGCCTGCCTCCTGTTTGACATTTAAGCACCAAAAAATAGAAATCCTAGAGGCTGGATAGTTCCCTTAAAAGACATTTTTTTTAAATCTCTTGCATCTGTATTGGGAGGTTCATAAGGTAGACGGCTGAAGGAGGCTGTTGTTTGTGTACCTTGAGCCTTATATTATAGCCATTGTCACGTTCCTAAGAAGTGGAGTTTGTGGACTTTAATGGCGAACAAAAATCTTATCCTTGGACAAGGCCAGAGGCAGCAGCACGCTGCAGGCTGGAGGCCAGCGAGAGCGAAGGCTGTTGCCTGGCAACAGTTTACAGAGTCTAGCGGGGTCCTTCAAGGCTGCCCACAGCCCTGCCTGCCCTTCGTCATCAGCACATTAAGATTAGGTCTGCAACTTCCCTGGCCCTGAATTATTTATATATTATTTTCTCCCAGCCATCAGTGTTTCACTCTGCCGGTCCTGCCTGAGATATTTGACACCACCTGCCGCTGATATGAAGTCTGCTGCAGACTAAGAACTGCTTGCAGCTGTAGAAGGGAAGATAGCTCATTTCTCCAGATAAAATCCCTGTGTCCAGTCTGATGTGGATAGAGGAGTTAAAAGATATATTTACTCAGACTTGTTTGTCCTAAAGACTGCATTGAAAGGGAAATATGTCTTCCTTCTCAATGTGTTTGATCTTTTCTGTTTATTTCCTTTTTGCTTTGGGCTGTCTCTGCAGTTTCTCTGCTTTCGGTAGCTGTTGCCGATTTGGGGTGCCCGCCTGTGATGGTGCCGTATTTGTTTCCTGAATGTCTAATCTGCCAAGTTCATGCCTTTGGCTACTCACTGAGAAGGGCTTCCTTGTTCTGCGTCTGCCTGGCAATCCCAGCGACTGCTGCTGTCCCCAGCCTCTTGTGCGCATTAACATACAGCTGTCCCACAGGATGTAGTGAGGCAGACAACCAGGAGCTTCAGAGGGATGCAGGGCACTCCCTCTCCTCTCCCAGATTCAACTCACAGGCAGAAGCAGCAGCAGATGGGCTGTGGAGATTAAACCACCAGGCACATGGCGGCTATTGTGCGTTGCCTATTGTGAAATTCAAAGGTCATCTGTAGGGGTCAAGGCTGAATTGGTTGTGAAGAGCACTGCCTCCCATCCATGATCTGTGGTAGTAATGGTTCGCGTACGTTAGCTTCTTGACTGCACAGAAATAATGTACAATAAGGACTTAGAGTACAGGTTACAGAGAAAGGTCCACTTTTTTATTCAAGCAGTAGAATAAAATACTGTCTTTTCTAATAGTACCGGGAAAAAAACACTCAAGGTACTCATGTCTCTACAACACAGGCAAACAAAGAAGATCTCCTGTAGTACAGTTTGCAATATGTTACAATACTGAGTAGTCTGGTGATTTAGATGGTAAAACCTTCAAATTAAACTTCAGATGAGACCAAAACTGTTAAGCGAGGAAATAAAGAACTTGCAGGATAAAAGGTAATTGTTTGGAAGTAAGGTGTATGCCAGTGTGTGTGGTTTTGTTGAAACTGACCTTTTCTGCACCACAGTGTGAAGATTAGAAAACGCCCAATATTACATCAAAACACTTGTTTACATAAACCCAAACGCTTAAAAGTTAGATTTTGTTTTAGTTCTAAGTCAGAAAAAATTTGTGAACCCCCCCGATGGTGTATTTGCCATACAGAATAGTCCAAAGTGGCTGAAATGAGCTTCCTCCGCAGGGTGGCCAAGCTCTCCCTTAGAGATAGCGTGAGGAGTTTGGCCATCCGGGAGTGGCTCGGAGCAGAGTCGCTGCTCCTCCACGTCGTGAGGTCTCAGCTGAGGTGGCTCAGGCATCTGTTCCAGAAGTCCCCTGGAGGCCTCCCTCGATATAGCCCTTTATCAAGTCCGAGGACCCCAAGCGCTTCACACTACAATCAATCATCCACCCTGTCATACACTGGCTGTGTGTAAATGCATGTATGTGTGACGGTGTAGCCACATCTGGGCCACCGGGCCCTCTGACCACCATCACCAGGAAAGGCAGGTAAAGTGTCTTTTCCAAGGACACAGCGACTGAGAAGGAATAACCGGCAACCCACCGGTTATAAGACCACATTACTACCACATTACTTTTAAAGGTATTTTCAGGCACCGGGAGGAGGCCCAGGGGAAGGCCCAGGACACGTGGAAGTGACTATGTCTCTCGGCTGGCCTAGGAACACCTCAGGCTTCCCCCAAAGGAGCTGAAAGAGGTGTCTGGGGAGAGGAAAGTCTGAGCTTCCCTGCTGAGACTGCTTCCCCTGCGACCCAGTCCCGGATATGTGGAGGACTTACGAGTACGAGGAAACCCACCCATCCACCCATCCTGATGAGCCTGTCGCACAAGAGATACAGATTTTAAATTTGGAGAGTCTGTTTTTTTTCAACAATGTTTTATTAAACAATGGGCTGCACGCTGGTGCAGTTGGTAGCACTGTTGCCTTCAGCAAGAAGGTCCTGGGTTCGATTCCCAGCTGGGGGTCTTTCTGCATGGAGTTTGCGTGTTCTCCCCGTGCATGCGTGGGTTCTCAACGGGTACTCCGGCTTCCTCCCACAGCCCAAAGACGTGCCTGTTAGGTTAATTGGTCACTCTAAATTGCCCTTAGGTGTATGTATGAATGAGTGTGTGCATGGTTGTTTGTGTGTTGCCCTGCGATGGACCAGCGACCCGTCCAGGGTTTACCCCGCCTCTCGCCCATAGACTGCTGGAGACAGGCACCAGCTCCCCCGCGACCCACTATGGAATAAGTGGTAGAAAATGACTGACTGACTGACATGACACTTAACATTTATTGATTACACACAAAAAAATAAAACAGGCCAGCACAAGACATATAGAAATAGAGTAAGTTTAATGCTGGTTACATTGAAAAACAAAGTGTGACCCTCCTTTGCAAAGTAAATCATTTCAGTCCAGAGGCAAGTAGTCCAAAAGGGGTTGCTGTATTCTATAAAAAACATCCAAATTGCTGTTTGTTAGGGCACTGAGGTGCTCCACTGGGAAGACCACTCTGAACCATTGTGTAATAGAAAGTGGTGCCCCTGAGTCCACTGTAACAAAGCCTTGGATAGTTTATTTTAAAAGTAAATGTCTGCCCTTACATAATCCCATAAATCCATCCATCCATTCATCCGTCCGTCCGTCCATCCGTCCGAGGTACCTCCCTCAGGATGGAAACCCAGATGTCCCTACCCTCCTTGACTCACACATATTCCTCAAGGGGAAATAAAGGGCATTTCATTCCCTGTATGTGAATTATTTTAAGCATTACCGCGTTATGCCCTTGCATGTTCATTCAAGCGATCTGTCAAAGCTTAGCCACACTCCTAAACTGGATATCAAAATGTGATTAAATAAAAATGCCTACTGGTTTCTTCCAGTAATTAACATTGTAAATAGGAAGTAGTACTGTCACTGGCTTTCTGACCTTCTCTGGCCTTGTAAAGAGACTTGCTGATTTTAGTTGAAATGTTTACCACGATACCAAGGTATTAACCCAAAATAATTTGGCACTTTCTATGGCATTTTATTAGGCACTTTAAACTATTGCATAGAATCCTTGAACCCTTAACTTTTTACAAGCTTTTTATATATTAATAAGATGACTGGCCCATGCCTGTTTTGCATGTATCTACTGCTTAAACAGCACTTTACTCTGGTTTTTGAAAGCAGCATATTCGATGTATTCACTGAATAAATTTCAGCAGTCAGTCACTTTTTGGCATATTAAGATAAACCCATTCCACAGACTTGCACTTCGGTACTGGTTGTATGAGTTAGTGACTATTCCTAATGTTTCAGTCTTTCGGGAAATGCATTGATAGTTTTAATGCATTATTTAAAATACATGACATAAGCAAACAAAACAAGTAAACAAACAGCGCTACAACCTCTAGAGGGGTTTTCCAGATGTTGTGTTCTCCCTGTCTCCACTGTGAGTTAGGAAGCAGGGAGTTGGTGGTGTTTGTTTGTGGAGTAGGAGTGTGAAGGAGGACTCTAGAAGTTTGTCAAACTGAAACAAGATGGAGGCAGGGAGACAGAAAGGATCAGAGTAAAGCATAAATTTAATCAAGACTGCTTCACGTGCATTTTTTTGGTACCATTTAATTTAAACTTTTTGTTTCTAATGTATACATCTAACTTTGCCTGCAAATGCTTCCAGGCCCTCCAGCTATGAAGCTGGGTCTTATAATGCTGCCATGTTGCTTTCAGCGTGATGCAGCTAAATAATTATTACTGAAGACTATGATGGGGTGCTGATCAGTTCACATACATACATCAACATACAATTGGATTAGATCATGTGACATCTTAACATCTTTATGGCAATTTACAGTCACTCCATGGTTTAAGGGCTTGGTAAAATACAGGCACAAAACGGATGCACGACACAAATAATTTGCAATGTATTATGGGGAGGTGGAATGAGTTGAAGGGGTGAACTGATTCAAAAGCTCTATGATCACCTTTTCGGGCGACAGTGGCAGCTCTGGTAGGGGTTTGTCCTGTAACCAGTGGGTTGTTGGTTCGAACCTCCGCTTTGTCTGTCTCAGTCGTTGTGTTCGTGGGCAAGACACGTCACCCGCCTGGCCTGCTGATGGTGGTCAGAGGGCTCGGTGGTGCCTGTGTATGGCAGCCTCACTTCTGTCAGTTCGCCCCAGGGCAGCTGTGGCTACATTGTAGTTCACCACTGTCAGTGTATAAATGTGTAGATTACTGATTGTTGTGTAAAGCGCTTTGGGGTCTCTGCAGACTTGATAAAGCACTATACAAGTACAGACCTTTTACCATTTTCTTACATTTCTGTAAATGAATACATTAAGTCCTCTTCCCCAGAATTACAGCACCAATGTAAAGTGTGTTAATGAGGGACTCATAAATGTTCTCAGGTCATCCCTGGGCTACTGCACTTTGCTCTGCCTGAAATTAAACTTTTATGACCCTTGACCTCAATATATCTAGCCTTTTAATCTTGGCAGATGCATCTCTTAGCATCGCCACTGGGTCATTGACCCACCAATGCTTTTAAAGATGATTAATCTCACTTCCCTGGGTGCTAACATTTCAAATGAAAATGTTTTTGTTTTTCTATACTGCATGTGTTTTACCAGTGTGGAAGCTTCAAGACAGCAGATATAATGTCATATCTCTTCACACTTCATTGACTAAATCACTACACATTACCTCTGATCTGCTTTCTCATACGTTCTTTAACCACAAGCAGTTTTTAGTTTGCCTCAGGCAGTTTTTTTGAACAACAGCTTTTTGTCCTTTGTTTATTACACATTTCTCCCCCAATGCATGTGTTTGCTTATGAATGAGCCATTTTTTAAATTGCAGTTACAGCAACAACAGCGAGCTAGTTCAGAAGTTTGTTTTTTATTAGAGGAAACAAAATCTGCTTTTTTTTGGTGTGAGGAAAACGTCCTCCTCTAATATTTTTAAGTTTGTACCAAATTTCAATATTTGCATCATATGCTTTGGGTTAGGGGTACCCAACTCCAGAACTATCATCCTACAACTTTCAGGTGCATCCATGCTCCAACACATCTGAATCAAACTCCCTCATTAAGCTCTCTGGAGGCCCGGTAACCAGCCATTCATTTGATTCAGGTGTGTTGGAGATAGTTCTAAAGGACTGGACCTTGGCACCCCTGCTAGAGGTTATCAACAGTATTCAGTACTCCTTTTAAAATATTTATATATCACAGTATTTATCACAGATTTTTCTCTTTCTGTTTTGGTTTTTCCACCACATTTACCTTTTGTGTTACACTGCATCATTTAACTTTCTTCCTTTGTGGGGTGCTATCCGCTCTCTAGTCATTTTTAGTCTTCCTTATATTATATACCCTGATAAATGAGAATGTTTGATAGGAAAACCTTATTATGTTCTCTTAAAGTTGAAAGAGAAGTCCTTGGTTGATTGACTTTGCCTTACAGAAAAGTAAATAATAGATAAATAAATGAATAGCAGCTTAAACAAAGTTCATAACCATAATTCTGAATCATTACGTCACACCTAAAATATCATTATTTGAATTAAATAGTTTAACCTTGCCAGGTGTAAGCATGGGATGCAGGAGGCTGAAACTCCTCCCCCTTCTCTTCTCTTCTGAGCCTATTGATCACAGGCTCTTTATAATATCCAGTCAGCTCTGATTCCTCTTGTTTCTACATGGTGAAACCTGGCCCTGCTTCCACCAGTCTTTGCATTTATGTCTGCTGGGGCTTTGAGAAAGCTTGCAATGGTTGATACATCTTTGTAATTAAAAAAAATTGTATGCAAGTCACATCAACAGGGTAGAGTTGCTATTTTTATGTGTGTTTCAGCCAATGCAGTAGCACACCTGGTCACCTAAAGTGCTGGGTGGGTTAAGGTTGGCTTTATTTCTCTGTTTGCTAATTATCATTACTGCAGATCCCAGACTCTTACGGATTGCTCTTCTTACACAAACGAAAGTACAGTTTTGAAATTATTTGCACACAGTTGGCATAAAGTTCCCGGCAAATCATTTGGGATTCAGTCCCGTTGAGTCGTCAGACTCTACAATCGGGTCATGTCCGTTCAACATTATGTGTGCAAGTAGCTACTATGTTACATCACTGATCGTCGTCAACAAATCTCTAAATGAAAAAATCTTTATTTTTCTGCTTTATAATCCTTTTTTATTTATTTATTCAGAGCTTTTATTTGACTCACTGCCATAAAATGCTGCGGTGCTCCAGTTGGTTACTAAAATCGTCTCTCTCATAGACTCTGAGATAAAAATAATCAGACAGACACTTTAGACAAGAGACCCAGCTTCCACTGCAAGGCCCAGTGTACACATCCAAACAAGATCAAATTTGCCCTTCACTTTTAGGAAATTGTGTCGGATATAAACAGGGGAATCATGTATTTCACTCCTATAAAGCTGTTTTCAACCACTTTCATTTTGATTGCCGTTTTTCTGCCACTTCTCTGTTTAACTCGGCCATTTAAAATAGGATAGAAAAAAAAATCCCAGCAGTTTGTGCTGTGCTTTCAACTTTGGCACGAGCAAACCGGGAAGATGTTCCACCTGCATTCTTTCCAGATTACCTCATCGGTAAGGCTCACCGTCCAGAGTTAGATTTTTCAGACAAGGCAACGGCAGCAGCTCCAGTACCCAACCCTGAGGACAGAACCGCTTTCAAAGCCGTCTGATTTTCTCTCTCCCACATTCGTTTTCCTACCACTCATTAAGAGATTTAGGTACAGTTTGTTCTCTGATAGTTCTTACAGTCTTCACAGTTATGCTTGCTTTTAAGATTCACCAACATTAGTAAAGCCATCAGAGTACACGCAGCACAGAATTAAATGTATCAAGGATTTTAAAGAATATTTCATTTGTAAAGAAACCATCTTTAATTAGTAGAGTTTGTGGAGTTCGGATTTGGCTATTTTTGATGTTTAAAGGTTAAACAATATATACACTAGTAATATAAATAATTAATAAAT